CTAACCGGGAATTGAAGTATTTAATATATATCTATCTTTTCAACTGAAAAACTGAAACTAATGACTGAAGACATTATGTGGTTATAATATACGGTAATTATGTCATTAATCTGTTTCATTAAATAAACATGTCCCATTCATATACACTAACCCTACCTTCATATTTTTCTTCCAAAAACTAGTTACGAGTGTTTGTATTTTCTCTGTATACTACTTCGATTCCCGGTCTGACGAATACTATGCATTAAAACATGTTTTGCTATTACTGCACGATATTACATTAAGATTAATCTATTTATTGTCAAACATATAACGATTATGTATTTATGAGGAGTGTTGTGTTTGAAATTTCAGTTCAACTGTAAGTTTATGATAAAAACAAGTTATTGCTGGAAGGTTTTAATCACGATAATCAGTATTTTTACGCAAAGTAATCAGCAAGTATCGCTCGAATGTCCAGTCCATCCGTTTCTTCACTTTCTTGTATATCTTCCACGTCGTCGTCAGCTGGAACTGCCAATGTTGTGCAAGATGCATGACGCCAACACAACGGTAACTACGTTTTGTACCTCCAAGTTCGCAAATGTTGTGCAAGATGCATGACGCCAACACAACGGTAACTACGTTTTGTACCTCCATGTCAACGCGTTTTCCAAATCTAATGAATCGCCCTTTCCATCTGCCAAACGTGTTCTCCACCGTCATTCTGGCGCGACTTAAGCGATAATTAAACAACCGCTCTTTTCGGGATAAATCACCCTTCGCATAAAAACCTTTCATAAGCCACGATAAAAGTGGATATGCGGGATCGGTCAAAATAACAGGTGATATATCTTCTCCATTAATTTCTCTGGAGAAATTTGAAGGGAAAAGTTTTCCTTCGTTCCCTTTCCTAAATATTGCGGAATTAGAAAAAACGCGAACGTCATGTACACTTCCTGGCCATCCGACCACAACATCACGAAACAAATAGTTGCTATCAACAACAGCTTGCATTATTATGCTGTGGAAACCTTTCCGATTCACGTATTCTGTACGACTCTCGGTTGGTGCAATTATGGGAATATGGGTGCCGTCAATTGCCCCCGCGCACATAGGAAAGCCCCATCTACTTTCGTAATCATCAATGACCTGCCATAATTGTTGCCCGCGCGGGAATTTGATGAATTTGGACAATCCTTTCGTGATAACGCTACAAACTTCTCTGATACACATAAACACAAAAGATCGCGAAACTCCAAAGAGGTTACCAATGGTTTTATACTCGGCCGTAGATGAAACAAAATACAACGTAATTGCAAGTCGTCGCTTTGCCGAAATTGCTTCTCGCATGACAGTGTTCTCATGAATTAAATCGTCTTTTACTGTATTTAAAACGAAGTCGAATGTTTGTCTTGTTACTCTAAAATTAACGTACCATAGTTCATCATCGTATTCGTTGTCTACCATATCGAACCAAACATTAGATCTTGGATGCATCCATTCACTTCTTATACGTGGAGTGTTAATGGCCATTATAACTGCATTTATAAATGCTACATGATATTTTTTTGTCGAATAGCTAGATGACTTAGCTGAAAATTTAATGATTTTCTTCTTTATAGCCCTTCGATCCCTGCGGCGCTTAAACCAAGCCAAAAGAACTCGAATTTTGCTTTCCCTGTTTAAAGCCGCCATAAAAAAAAATCGCGAACAAATAGCGCATGTTTTAATGGCATTTACCGCTGGAAAACGATATTGCCGACACGACATTTGAAGTGCCGTGCCAATGAATTTGGGGTACTCTTGTAAAATGTTATGGCCCGCTAACTAGTCAAAAAACTGTCGTGTAAACGCAGATACCGTGCCTAAAAAAACAGGTCCGGGTACCTAAATTTTGGAGTGCCGTGCCAAAAATTAGTGTCGTGTAAACGGGCCTTTAGACTCTTAGTTAAATATTTCCGTGTAATTTAAATTAAAACTTAATGGAGATAAAGCTAAGGAAATACGAAAAATACAATGGACTTACCGTTATGCTTCAAGAACTGTAGCAAACCAATGTAACATAATCAGACAGTTTCAGTTGCAATATTAAACTACAGTGGACAATTAGTCTCGCTGCGTGCGTTTATTTACAACTGTGTTGAGAAAGTTACTTCCAGGTTTATAACAGCGTAGGTTACAAATCAAATAATATTTGATTAATAATAATATTATTTTATCTTGTAAACAATCTTGGAACTGTTTTTTTCTTTACGTGTTAGACCACGACATAATTCGTCGCAGGCACTCTAGAAACGATCACGCTTACCATCCTGCATTCTAACCTTTTTCAGCTGATTTTCCATTCAACGACAACGTTTTTATTTATATTTGTATAGTATTTGCATATCTGCATGATTGCGTTTTTCATAGTGTAAATTTGAGTAAATTTAAAAACGCATGACCGATATTAAAGAGTGAAGCGTGTGTTCTCAGTGACGACTACAGTAAACACAGAATCGTTTTGGAAAAAAATTAAGAAATAATATTCACAGTGTCACGCTTCAGTTAATACGAACCACTCAATGGGCAATTCCAGCTATAGAGTATAGATCATATAGACTAAATTTTGATCTAGGCAAGAAGAACAAAATCCATCTAGAAAGAACATGGTAAAATTGCAAAGTTTGGCCGCGAAATGTTGCAAAATGAGGAAAATAATAGCAATACGAAATTTGCAAATTTTGTATACCACATTTGGGCCGAAAGTTGTGCAATTGACCACTTGCGCAATATGCTAAATTTTGATCTCAACAAAAATTTCATCACAGCTTGAAAGAGCATCACAAAATTAGTAATATTCCAATTTCGTTGCGAAATGTTGTAAAATGCGGAAAATATAGCCTTGCGAACTTTGCAATTTTCAGTCATTTTAGATTACAAACGGGAAATTGACAGCCCCAAACCCTTCGAGGCTGTCAATTTCCCGTTTGTAATCTAAAATGACTGAAAATTCGGCAAACTTCGCAAGGCTATATTTTCCGCATTTTACAACATTTCGCAACGAAACTTTGGAATATCACTAATTTTGTGATGCTCTTTCAAGCTGCGATGAAATTTTTGTCTAAACTTGCTTAGATCAAAATTTAGTCTGTCACGCACATGGTCTATTGCGGACAAATTAATACAAAATTTGCAGATTTCGCAGGGCTATATTTTCCTCATTTTCCAACATTTTGCAACCAAACTTTGTAATTATACTAATTTTATCATGCTCTTTCTAGCTGTGCTGATGGATTTTGTTTTTCTTGCCCAAAATCAAAATTTAGTCTATAGCTGGAATTGCCCATTACGCTAATATTGTACATGTTTAAGATCAAATTTCGCCAAGACACAAAAGAATCCCAAACATCTGAAATCGTCGTCGAATGACTAAATCCTATCCCTAACAAATTATGCGTATGTACATTTATAAAGAAAGTAGGACCATATTTAAATAGGCGATTCACAAGACGTACTTTGGCTAGTTTGGAAAACCCGGAAATTTTAACCATCTTTGATCTAAAATAACCAAGTCAATAAGTTTCGATTTATGGAGAAAAGATATCACGAGAAAGTTCCATATATTCTAAAGACATACATTGTAACAGCAGAGCAAAAACTTATAATGCGCGCTCAGCACAGCACATGATGTTGACTGCTTTATATAGCGTAATTTCTTTGACATTTCGCGTCATTTTTGGTTCGATTTTTGAAGTGCTCTAACTTTCCTTCATTTTTTGTTTGATGGCTGAATCTTCAGTAAATGTGTGGGATTGGATAGGTCCACAATATATATTAAAACGAGGGAAATTGAAGAACTTTCAGTTTTTCATATCTGCCACACATTCTGTGATTCTTACAGGCAAGCTCTCTTAAAGCATATACTTTTGTCTTGACGACTACCAAAAATTAAGAAAATCGAACAATGGGAATTCTAGATATTTCATTTTAAACATTGGAAACATATTTAGACTTAGTCAACACGTCCCTGGGAGTCGACTAACTTCAAACATCAAAATAACATTGAAAACAACGCTTACCTCAAAGATTTTTGCAGATATCACCAGATCTTTAGCAATAGTACTACTACACGTGAAATTTTAAATAAATTTTTTAAAATTAATATTTTTTCTCGGTTTATTTTCCGTCGAATGCAAAATTTTGTGTCCAATTTCTGCAGATAACAAGATGGAAAATACAGCGATCTCATTGGTCGAGAGATCACGTAACAACTTGATAATAGCTTGTCCAACCTCCTCTGGTGTTCAATGATATACTCTCATCTGATCATTCATAACTTACATTTAATTATTATTTAAACAATATCACTAGAATTCAAAAAGAGTTTTCCATGCAAATACAAAATTAATTACATGCGGATAATCCCTTATTGTTTTCCCTTGATAGCATTTGGTCCTAAAACCCTAATCCTGATCTTTAATTTGTCTACACTTGAAACGACTAACTGGAATTAGGGAATTAGACCTTGACCACTCTATCAAGATGGGATAAACTTCTGAGCATGCATCAATCATTTTTCTGCAAGAATCTGACATCAAGCATTCAGCTGGCTTTATTCAGGCAATGTAGTTATTTTGTTCACATAATTATGTTATCCTGCATAAGCAAGTTTCCTAGTAATGCTGGGTGGAATTCCTGTTCCGCTAGCCAATTGCAAAATCTTATAATCAGGCTATTAACCCCCAAGGGCGGAACAACTTAAGATGAGTCATATTAACACTCAGCTCAGTAGGCAAGCGTTCCTGAGTGTAATTGGGTTTATATGCTTGCAAATGCTAGGTAATACAAAGCAAGGTATCGGTAAAGTAGGCCAGCTTGGTTTGGCCGCGCAAATTCTACAAATCGGTGGGGGTGGGCGAACTGGGACCGCCTTTTTGGTTCTCCGTAATCGCCTTTGATATATCAAGTGAACGTATACTTATGGTATATGTACAGTATGTGCGCCGCTGGCTTGGTTCCAATATAGATCCAAGATTGGGAAGGAATAAAATGCAAAATTGGGAAAGAATAAGAAGCAGCAACTTGCATTAACTGTAGCCTCACTTGATGCTACATATCAATTACATATATAATCATATATACTTGATATTTAAGAAATAGAAAAATTTTTCCGTGTTTCTATGTATAGAGTTATAGAAACACGTGTGAAAGTTTAGGAGAAACGAGAAATTGCGTGGGAACACGAGTAGGAAGTGCGAGTGTCTCAACGCAATTTTGAGCTTGTTTCCACCAAATTACACGAGAAACCATCCTATTACGTATTAATAATATACAGAATAATGTTCGAGACAATTGTAGTTTTAAACTTAGGTTTATAGCGAACCGTCTATTGACAAAGTTTTCCTGCTTTGTTATATCACATTTACACAACGCTAACGGCTTGAAAATTTCACTCAACTATAGTCGTGTTTACACTATGGTGTTTTGTATCTTCATCTGTATATTTTCTTCTAGTGTTAATTAAAAGAATAATCACTTAGGTATACTAGAACCGAATCATTCAGGCACTTAATTAAAAACTAAAATGTATTTATGCATACTTCTATATTTAGTAGCTATACGAAAGTAGCATGCTGGTTCTCAATATAACTTGATTTTATAACAAACGTACTTGCAGAGAGGTGAGTCCGGGATTGGACGCACCGAGGGTGGCTGGAAGTTTCCCGAACTTACCGAGCGAAGCGAGGTGAGTTCGGGAAACTTCCAGCCACCCGAGGTGTAACCTGAAGTTCAGGCCCTATCACAGAATAGGGCCTGACACAAAACCTATCTAAAGTGTAGGATTCCCGTCCACCTGGTGGACGGGAAATCTGATTGGTTGATCAGCATTATGAAGGATTTTGATTGGTTGCAAGTTCACATAAACAACAGTTTTAAAAATAGCTCGGTCAAGGCGAGAATTAATATGAAGGTCAAACGCACGTAACAAATTCCATTATCGATTTCTTCGAATTTCTTTTCTTTTATGCTCTATGGCAGAAAATAAATCAAACAAACAGCATTTTGAAAGGGCTTCATCCAAATCTTTGACGAATTTGGACACACACGACGCTGAAAGAACAGCCAAACTAGTCATGTATTCGAAAGCTTGTTGTTGACAGCCAAGATGTTCTGCCAACTTGCTTCGCCGGCAAAAGTCTTATTTTTAAGATCAGGTCCTACCGGCGTAATTGTTGTCTGAGCTACATCGCCTTCTTCGTGGTATGATTGAGAATTTAATTGTTGCTGTTATAGAGTATATCCGCGTCCAGCAAGTTGAGACCTTGAGAAAGCTTGGCAGTCAAGCCGTGCACAGAACTGACTAATTAAATCTTTGTTTGCTGTTCGCCTGTTCGGTTAAATAGAGAAACAGACTCTTAATTATATAAAAGTACCTTGAATTTTTAAGTTTAATTAAAAAGCAAAATGCTCTGCGGAC